AAGGCAAAAATGTAATTAATTCAGAAAATCTTTTCAGGACCCCACCTTGATGTTTCGGGACCCCATTTTGGGTCCCGACCCCAACTTTGGGAAACACTGATCTAGACCAAAGGATATATATATACACACAAGATGCTTTTGTACATTTAACACTTCCTTATTCAAGAATTAAAACCATCAATTCTGAGAATTAAACTYTCCTCAGTGAGACCAGAAAGAAGAACGTCACAATAATTAATCCTGCAGGTGATTGTCGATGTCATTAAACATGGACTAAGACCTTTATATTCAACTTAGAGACAATCAAACTCAAAGTATTTTTTTATTCTTCTAACTTTACAGAATTATTCAGACTGAAATATTCAGACAGAAATAATAAAAAATAGTAATTAGAATAGCCCCATGGATGCATGAGAAATAATAAACCCGACTGCTAAACAATCACATAGTTCTATGTAAATTTCTACGTGATGCAAAAGTGACAGGCGTGTAAAGTTTTGATTTATTTACATGAACTGCTTCTGAAGATGAGTAATCTACTAAAGTCCTGTCAGAAATAAAACATTTCCCCAAWCTGAGGTTGTTTAAAGTCATTTACTACTTTAAAATGTCTGAAACATCCCTTTAAGTAGTCCTGTACTCTCTGTGTTACAGTGGGTTTAAAAACTGGACAAACTAGTTGATAATCTCCACTGGTGAGTTTCAGCTGATGTTTAAACTTATGTTGGATTTGGCTTCACTGCTGTGACAACAAACTGTCCGACTATAATACTTTTAATCTCCACTTAGCGTACGTTTAAGTACCATTCCAGTGGAACTCAAACGTTTCAAAATGATCTCTTGGGTGCTGAAAGAAGATCCACTTACCCGACTAAAATCTGAAAACTGCTTGTCACATTTTTCATCCAGCTGGAAAAAAAAGAAAGAGCAGTGTAATTATAAAATAAATTGGGAACGATTGTTGAAACTCGCATGCCGTGCTGGTTCTTGAAGCTGTAATCTGTAAATTATGTGTTAGTTCACATCTTATATATGAATCTGGGACAAAACGCAAACTGTAACGAGTTAAACAAAAYGACTTTTTAAGACCACCAGATTTCTGGATTAAAGGAAGGAAACCTCTAAATGCATGCTGGTTAAACACTAGCAAACCCTTCTTTTGTTGGTGATCTCTTCTTTAATRAAGATAATAAAGAGAACATTTGATGAGTTTTAAACTTTAAGTGTTATTTCATTCATTTCAAGCGTATTTCCACCTCCTGACCACACAGATGTGAGCTTCATTCAGGGACTTACAGCATCCAGATCTGGAATGCTCAACTCATCCAGGTCAGAAACAATACTGCCCCTTCGGTTGGAGCGGCTGAAATAATCGGCCGCAGATTCACTAATGTCCGAGAAGTCAGATGACTATTTACAAAAACACACACGGGAGGAAGAGGACAGCAGCAGAGGGAAAAGACGAAAAGGGAAAGAAGATTTAATTAAAACGTTAAAAGCTACAATGACTGTGGAGGTCCTGTGAGGCCCGGCTCACCGTGCTGTCCCTCCGGCTTCGGCTGTAGCGCTCCTGGGACACACTGCTGACAGTGTCATCATCAGAGGAAGAGTGCTGGGAATATCCACACATACAGACAGGAAAAGAACTCAAAACAACGTCGAAGGACGGCTGCATGCTCAAGTCTGTATCACACACACGGGCTGGTTCAAAACAATCATTAGATCTGTAGAAAACCATTGTTTAAAGTTATTTAGTCCAAAGGTTTCAAGATGCAAAGATCAAAATGTAAAAATAACTTGTGGTGTCCCACAAGGTTTAATATTTGGATCTAAATGATTTATAATGTATATGAACATTTGTTCTGTTAAAAATTATTATGTTTGCAGATGACACCAACTTATTTAGCCCAGGAGTAGATGTAAAAATAATTAGTAAAAATTGTAGAAAGTAGTGGTGTACCAGTACGTAAGCATTTTTGCAAGTACTTGTAAAAAATGCCCTGATACCAGTGTTAGTTTACATTTTAAGTAAAATGTCTGTCAGCTCCTTGTTTAAGAAATTTATACAAGTTGAAAGAAAATCTTGTTTTTTTATTTATTTTAAAATGTTCAACAGTATGTAGTATCATGCTGTATATTTGATTTGACTAGGGCTGCACAATATATTGCAAATTTATCATCATCGTGATAACAGCCAGTGCAATATGCATATTGCAAAAAAATTAATAAATTGCAATAAATGATTGGCTCCAATGTTTGTATTTATGTGGTTTATCACCTGATAAATCAAATGGACCAGAGAAACAATATAAAATCAGTCATTCCATCATGTTGTAATAGAAATTATGTATTAGCTGTTTTTTGCTCTGAACCAAGAGCAGAAAAACATCAACACTATATTAATTTTTTTATTTATTTATCGCAGGTCATATCGTCATCGCCATATTAAGCACTGTTATCGCACATCGCAGTTTTTCTTGCAGCCCTAGATTTGACCCAGTCGGAGGGGCTGTAGACCTATAAGGAAAGAGGGACACCATGTTCTGAATAAAAGAAATGTGTTTTTAAAGTAACTGTGTAATGTTTAAATTCTAAGTAAGTACTCGGTATAGGCGAMTACCCAAACTGAAGTGCTCGCGTTCATTTTCCGTTACAGGAAAACTGGTATTTTGTTATTTGGTGGCATTAGGGACAAATTTGATGCAACTCAAATTAAATGGAGTTAAGATTAAAAGTTTATTTTTATGATTATAGACCATAAATGTTGTAAACCAACTTAAAAGACATTAGAAATGCCAGATCAATGTGTATACTTAAGAAAAAGATAAAGGTAAATTTGTTTGAGAAATATGTGGGTATAAGGCATGATTTGTTACTCAAGAAGGAATTAAAC